ATAAGACAAGTTAGTTAGGCTTGTGTTATCAAAAATTTCTAAGAATTCTGAAGCTTCAGAGCTGTTGCTGAATTAGTCTAACAGGAAAAACTTGAAAAATGACCAGTCTAGCAGCACCTTAAAGACTAACAGTGCTGCTAGACTATTTGTTATTTTTAAGAATTCTGAGTCTATCAATTTTAGGTGTCTTCCTTAACTCCCACAAAGCCTGAATTTTTTTTCTGAGGTACTCATTACCCTCTCTGTGTGAAAGTCAAGACCCTGGGATCTCAAGTTGGCACTCACAATTATTGGACACTTATCACAAGATTGGGCCTTAAACCTCTCTGTGCCTCAACTTCCCATTCTTTAAATTAGGAGTAATGTTTCCTTACTGCCCAGGGCTGTCAGAAGGCTATGTTCATTAATGATCTGACACTGTGGTGATGAGACCCTGAGTTTAAATACCAAAAAAGCATATTACACAGAAGGGGCATTCATGGACAGGATAGGACTTATCTATGTCTCATCCCAGTTTGCATGCATTTACAATGGACAGAGGCTAGCAGTGAGTGGAATGAAACTGCATCTTTTCCAAATGACTCGCACGGGCTGCTTGCAAATGTGTGTCTCCTCCATTATTTCTGGAGGAATCCTAAGGGGGAGGTACAGCGACTCTACCTGTTCCACTCAGATGTTGCAACTCCATTTTACTCCATTACCTCTTCCATATGGCTCTGTGGCCAAAAACCTTAACTGAATCCAGAGAGATTGCTCAGCTTGAATCAATAGGACAGGCGGAGGCTAGGAGGAGTAAGTAGTTCTTATAAACACCATCTAGTGGTCACACAGGCAGACATATCCCTTTTATTATAGAAGCATTTAATTAAATAGGAAAACAAATAAATAAATGCTGGGGACAAGTAAAATACCTTTTTGTCTTGCTGCCCGACTTGAAGTTTGTAGGTGAAAGATTATATATGTGAATCACTGGACCAGAATCTGCTCTTACATTGGTAGGGCCATACCAGTTTCATGGCCATGAAAAATATGTCCCGGACCATGATATAAGCCTTCCCCGTGCAATATGATCTCTCCAAAACCAGACAAGCCGGTGAGGGACAGGACTTGGCTGTTTATAGCGAGAAACCAGACCCACCTCCACAGGCAGCACAGATGTGAGGCTTGCTCAAGCTTGAGGCTGCCACTCCTGACGGCTCCTGCTGTACCTCCGGGCACCAGGGCTTTCACCTGTTGCCAGAACCCTTTCTCCTACCCCGCCTCCTTGTGTCTCCTTTTCTGCAGCCTAGCTCTGAGCTGCTTCTGCTCCCTGCAGCTGCTGCTAGGGCTGAGGATACAGTGGCTGCTGCTCTGGCCTGGGCTTAGTGGCTGGACTAGTGGCTGCTACCTCCTGTAGCTCCAACCTCTGCAGCTCGTGGCCCAGAGATGGGCAATAATTTTAGACGGGGGTGTACTTCAGAAATTTTTGAAGTGACCATGTGCTGCCCTAGAAAGGCGGAGCCTCCGGCAGACAGTACACTTCTGTGCTTCCCCGCCCCCAAGCCCTGACTGGCCTAGGAATGAGGGGGAATGCATGGAGTCTTTGCTCCCACTCCCCTCAGAGAGAACTGCCAGCTGTTCTGAACAACTGGCAGTTCCCTCTAGGCACCTGCGCCCCTGGTGGTGGGAGGAGATTTTGTGTGCTTCCCCCATCTCCAGGCCCTGATTGGCCTGGGGGCAGGCGAATGGCAGGGTGTCCATGGGTTGGATCAATCCTCTTGGCAGGCCAGATCCGGTGCACAGAGAACCATTTGCCTACCTCTGTTTGGGGGGATTCTCTTCCCTTCCCCTGTAGCTCTGGGCTGTTGTTCCCCTCCCCTCTGTGACCCCACTCCAGCTGGGACTTGGGGCTTTCACACTCTCTCTCTCTCTCTCTCTCTCCCCTCCTCCCCCCGCTTCCTGCATGAACTCCAGGCTTCTGTCCCCTGGGGCTCCAGCTAGGCCACATGGTGTCCAAACCCAGGACTGCTGCCCTCATAGCTCCTCCCTAGACTCTGGACCACCTGGGTTTGGCGTTTCAGCACACACTGCTCCTGCCAGGGCTGGGGTGTCCATTTTTTTTAGTTGTCCAGGGCTCCATGATCCCATATATTAGTCCATCACTGGCCCTGACTAGCAGCTAGGAGCCCACAGCTACGGGCCTCCCAGCGGCACTGAAAAGAATGGACCTACCTCCACCTCCAGGTGCCTTCTCCAACTGCAGGAAACTCCACAGCTGCTGCCTTCAGAGACCCAGAACTGAGTATGTAAATCCTGCAGTTCCCCTGAAACAGTTTTGGGGGACCCCCCTCCACCATTCCCTTCTGAATCAACCAGTGAGTAAATCACCTAATTTCAGTGCTTCACACTAACAGTGACACAACTGAGAGCAGAATTTGGCCCTGTGTTTTACTCATCAGTGTTCCTTTTAACTAAAAGAATTTTGGAGGAAAAGAAAGCTTGTTTCCTGAAAGCTCACATGTTTCTGCTGCTTATTTCTCCACCTTAAATCAAAATCTTTGGCTTATAAATGCATTCCTTCCAAGCACAACCCATTGTGAAGTTCTTGTAGAAAGATTATGATTTAAGATAGGGAATAAGTACATTCTGTTAGTGATAATAGTGCATTCACAATTCAGACTATATAAAGGGCTTGATTGCCCTCCTTCTCTTACATTAACATATATCAGGAGTAACATCAGTGAAATCTGTGGAGTTGCCCTGGTATAATATTGGTGTAAGAGGCACATACTCTTATGAGAAGAGGTTGTTTCTAAGTAGTCTTTCTTTTTACATTATTTTACATGATGCACAGTCTGGGTCTAATTCTCCGTTGCCTTTATGTTGTGAAGGTCATTTACAGATGTGTGAACTGGGTGTAAAATACTACCATTCTCTTTTGATAGCATTTTACACTTCCTGCACTTGTGTAAAGGACCATGTATAAATCAATGCCAAAGCACTTGCCATTGTGTAGTTAGAGAGAATGGAATTCTCCTAAAAGTAGTCTAATCTTATAATGTATATTGTAGGTGTAAGTACTGGGGATGTTAAATTTCAAATAATTGTGTAATCGAATAGTCAATGCATTTTGCATCAACTACTTGATTAGTTGATAGGACGCCTCCAACTTTGAAGTGTGGCAACAACTGTTGCCATACTTCAAAGGTGAAAGTGCTGCATGGAGCCCAGGTCAGCTGTGGACTCCCTCGCTGACCCTGGGATCCGTGCAGCACTACCGCTTTGAAATGCCATGGGGAGCCTGGCCTCAGGCCCTGGGCTGCATGCAGCATTTCAAAGTGGCAGCGCTGCATGGAGCCTGGGGTCTAGCCCCAGGCTCCATGCATCACTGCTTCTTTGAAGTATCCCTCCTCTTCCGACCTGCCTTGCTTCCCTTCCCTTATTTCTGATAGAGGCTGCAAGTAGGAGGGAGAAGCAGATAATCAACTAGTCATTCACATCCCTAGTAAGAACTAATAGCTTTCAAAGTGCAAGAGACATGAAGATAATTAATTGGGAGGGCAATGAAGGAGTTTGTTACAACACAGTGGCTTGTAAGTGAAAGGTTAAATTGTTTCTAGTTTTTTACAACTTTGGCACACACTGCCACTAAATCTTTGGAGGTATTTGATCTTAGTAGTTTAAGAAGCATAGATAATTAAGGTTGTTTTGGAACAATAATTTGATCTCAAATTAGGATTTAATCAGCTATTTTTAAACATGTAAAAAAACCCTCAAATTTTAAAACAGTTAAGATCCTTTGGCATTTCTGTTTTTTGAATTCTTAAGTCATTTGTGTACAAGTTTTCAGTTGTAAATGTAGATGGTGATTGATCACAAGTAACTGCTGTGCAAGCAGTTCTGCTTAAATATATGTAATTGCAATGATCTTTATCAAAACCTTGTTTTGCTGAAGTATGCATCGGAAATGCACTGAATGATACTCTGATACTTTCCCCAGCCCCTGAGTCCATCCGCTGGCAACAGATTGCACAGTGATATGCAAGTAATGTGTATCACTCCGGAAGCACAAAGTATCAAAATTACTACTTGGCAAGTGTCCAGCTCTTCCCTGTTCTCTCCTGCAGACATGTCACCTGGTTAATGGTGCATGTATGATACTAAAAAGTAAATGTATCCAGAGCTACATCTTACTCTTCATGGTTATGCAGGAGCAAGAGAAGCTCTATCTTCTGTCCACTTAAAAATTGTCCGCTTAAAAAAACAAAACAAAAAAACTTAAAGCATTAGCCCTAATGCAAACCTGAATAGTTGCTGTCTGACTAGTTAGTAGTAATTATGCAATCCAGTTTTTTAAACAATTTTAATGTTTGTATGCTGCTACAAATATTCCTGGGGCCAACCAACAATCCTTGCTTTTGAATTTTAAATAAATCATTGGAATATTAATACACTCTCCAATTTAACTATTCTTTATAGTTCAATGTTAAGTCCTTTACTATACAGTAATTTGTGTCTTTTAGCTGCATTGTAGTAGATATTATTCAGTTTGCATGCTCTTAAACTCAGGTTGTATTTCAGGTAGTAAACTAAATGTGCAGAGAATGTTTTTATCCTATTTCAGTTCACTTCAGTTGCATTTCAGTGCACTTTTATTAAAATATTTCCAAATTAACTGAATAATATCTGTCCAGCTAGTCTTGCTGTTCTAAGGTGTCAAAAGAGAAATATGTACAACTGGAATTTTTATGTGGAGATTTTTTATTATTTTTCATTTTTTTACTAAGAATTCACTATATGAAATGTCAGTGTAAAACAGTGAGAGTTTATTAGCTCTGTGGACTTGTAAAAATACAATTAGAGGCCTACAGTGGAAATGTTTTTAAAAATCAATATAGTCTGAGGTGTTTGGTTTTTTTTTCTCATGGACTCTTCCTTACTGTGTTCATTTAACTTTTAACTAAGTTTGTTTTTTGTAACATTATCAAATCTAACTTTTTTTTAAAAAAATATTTGTTTAGGTTTTACTGCAATCACAGCGACCAATCCTATTTGGTTAGTAAAGACACGATTACAGCTTGAAGCAAGGTAAAGAACCCTTTTAATACTGTCAATGCTTACAAGCTTTATTGTTTAATAATTGAAAAAGAATGATGCTATAAAATTGATACTTGGTTTAGAAGAGAGAGGTTTTTTTTTATAGTCAAGATTTCAGTTGGTAAGGCCACACATTAGCCTGATTCTGAGATGTACACTGTCCTTGTTCCAGTAGTTTAATTGGATGGTAGTGTGATGTTGCCTGGAGGTGTACTGCAGTATTCTGGTGACTAGTCTTCTCTGATATTTTTCCAAAACTAATAGTGCTTTAAACAGCCTCAATCACATTAATGAACTGTTTGCTTGTTTAATCAAATCCCTGAACACTGCAATTTTGTATTCCTAAAAATAATATTTTGTAACGTGAGTTTGCTTACAAAAGGGCAGAGTTGATTTGACTGCAAATATAGAAGCAGCCTGCTGAATAGAAATCACCTGGTTTCTTGTTTACATGATAAAGGATGAATGATTTTATATTATTTAGTTAGGCTGGAAAACAACACACATTTCTTTTCTGCACCATATCCACTAAGAACAGCTGAGAGAGACTTGGCTTAATCTGATATGACTTTCTCCAGATTTTTTTTGCCTGTTTTACCACCCCTGCTTTTTTCGTAAACTTCGTATCACTATCATGCCCCTCTTTCAATACCCTCATGCAAACATATTCATGACCCAACACATGCCCCTCTTTCAATACCCTCATGCAAACACATTCATGACCCAACAAATTCATTTACAGGCAGTCCCCGGGTTACGTGCAAGATAGGGACTGTAGGTTTGTTCTTAAGTTGAATCTGTATGTAAGTCGGAACTGGCGTCAGCCGCTGCTGAAACTGATCAGTTTCAACCGCGGCTGAATCTGGATGCCAGTTCTGACTTACATACAGATTCAACTTAAGAAACCCAGGTGTCCCCAAGTCAGCTGCTGCTGAAACTGATCAGCGGCTGATTCCAGGAAGCCTGGGGCAGCAGACTGTAATATTACAAATCTTTCTAGACCATCACTCCCTGGTCTGGCAACATCCATGGTCCAACATGGTTTTAGTTAGCCTGATGTCCACTTATCATGAGTGTGGCCAAGTGTGGCCAAGGTACCATAACGTTTGTTTACAGCCACCAGTCCTATCAGTTTTCTATGCTGTTATTTAGCTCTAGTTTACCCCTAAATGTCTTCTAAGAGCCCAGCAAGCAGTGGAAGTGTTGGTAATGCTGCCAGACAATATTGACCTCCTATGATTGAGCAAATTCTCTGCTTCGTCACTGGTCAGGTCCCAAAGGTACCTGACTAGACAGGTTCAATCTGTATAAACTTTGCAAATGTTTAAGCCTACCTCTGTGAAAAAAAACCACTTTGCATAATTGTCATGATAATCCCCTTGTATTATAACCACAAAACTTCAGTCATAAAACCTCTTCTACTTACAGGTTTCAGTAGGGAGTATCAAAGATCCAGACCCACCAAAATTTGTGAACCTCCCAGAGGCACCTGGGCTGAGTTTCAATCAAACCAACTACTTCTACAGGTTCTAGTGCAATATTCTGGGAGTTGTTTGACACCAGACAGTGGGGCTGACAGACACATCAGGTCTGGAATTGTGAACTTAACGTCCCTGTGTGCCTCTGGAAAGATTACCTGCAGTGAGTTTGTACATCTCAGGACAAAAATCACCATCACTGAAGACTCACAGCACTAGCGGAGGAATATGATTAATGCTCCCCAAATCAGTATGTAGCAAGCACTGGATGATTACTTAAAACGTAATAGCTTTATGAATTCATTACATTAAAATGACAATGTTTGAGCACTGCTGAAGTTCCAAATGTATCTACTCTCATATTTGAAAACTTGTTCAGTGCCTTTATTTTAGTGTTAGTTTGGCATTTTATTCTCATACCTGTCACTAAAATGCCAGCCTCTGTTGAAGGGAAGCCGTTCATAGCAGGGTTCCATGTTGATTGCTTTTTGTCCCTTTTTCTGTGTGTTAAAATTAGGCAAAAATTGAGGCAATCTTACTTTTGGTATCAAAGGCACACCAGTCTCCCATGCTGATTTATTTTAATTAAGTCTTCCTAATTATCATTCATTGTTTTATTACTCCTTCAGGCAGGCTCCACATTCTATACTATTTGCCACTACAAAGCCAATTTGTAACCAGTCTCGTGCTTTCAAGAATGTAGTTAGTGCTGTCCACTGTTGAAATTTGCTCCCTGAAAGATCTCTGCTCTGCTGTCATGGAAAACACCCCTCCCCAAGCCCTCTAAAACCTGAAAACTAAACCACAGTAATGCAACAGTTTTGTTCCATGACAGACTACTGTGTCCCTGGATAGATTACATCTTGAAAATGAGTCTTGCTTTGTATCAGCATGCCTTTTTTGTTTTAACAAACACACAATTGAATCCTAAACTCTCTTTCTAGATCTTAATTGTAAGTATAGAAGGAACCTTTGTTGGAAGTGAACAGTTCATGAAAGGTGTCAAATTTATTTTTATATGTTTAAGTTCAGAATTGTAGTTAAATATATTTTTTCTTATTTTTTTAGCAGCAATTTGAAAATAGAACATCTGATTGAAGTAATTTTTTATATTACAAAAAGTTAAAGATATTCCAAGTGCCAGGAAACATCTGAGAAATTAACACTATCAAGCAGGGATTATAAATAACATTCTTTAGTAGCATTTGACTCAGCTATTATAGATGCATACAGATTCAAGGTAGCATTTTGCATCATAGCAAGTACTCTTAAACTGCATGAGCATAATAGTGACGCAAATCCAGGAGCTGTCCCTGTGTGACTGACACTGAAATTAGGTAGTGGCCGTTTCTTTCCAGAATGTTACATAACCCAAGTGAATTGTTTGATTTTGTTCAGATGTATAATTTATAGGACTTCTGTGTACCTGAATGAGATGCCTGTGTTATTGTGGGAGATTACACCCCGTTCAGCTTACAACTTAAATGTGACTTACGTCATCTGAAGAAGTGGGTTGGACCCACGAAAGCTCATGATACCATCTCCATGTTTTGTTAGTCTTTAAGGTGCTACTAGGCTATTTGTTTAAGTTTTTCCTGTTACCGACTAACTTGCCTACCCTTCTGAAGCTTTATTCTTTGATATTCTTCAAATAAGTGGCTGCTATAATGGGCCTGATGATGTGTCCATTGAAGTCCATGATAAAACTCCCATTGATTCTAGTAGGAACAGGAGTTGATTCAGTGCTTTGCTGTGTATAAAATGAAATTGTGGTGGCCTTCCAAGGTGGTTTTATTGAATATAGAGAGAGTAAAACATGCTCTCCACATTTTATGCACAATCTTATGCATTGAAAGGATAATTTCTTCTTCATGCAGACAAATACTTGGATCCCCATTTCAGGAATGAATGTGCATCATGCATGTGGGATCTTTGAATAAAAGAATCCTCTGGGACTGTGTCTGCACTGTTCATGTCCTTATGCCTGTCCTTCCTCCTCCCTATCCAACAGTATAAAAGAACAGCCATGATCATCCCTTAGTTTCCGCTTACCACCTGAGGCAGCAGGATAGAGGCTATGTCTACACTGCAGGGAAAAGTCAGAAAAAATATGCAAATTGCAAGCTGCAATTTGCATATCTTTTTCACTTTTCTTCCGAAAGAGGCTATTCCAACATTTGGCTCATCTACACGGGGCCAAATGTCAGGAAAAAACCCTCTTTCAGAACACCCCTTCTTCCTCGTAGAGCGAGGTTTACAGGGATGCTGAAAAACATGTCTGCTTTTCCGATTTTTTATTCCCCCGGAAAATCAGGCATGTTCCTTGGATGTAGCAGAGCTTTTCCAGGATAACTATGGTATTCCAGAAAAGGTCTGCAATGTAGACCTAGCCAGAATTGGCAGCATTCACCACTTTACTGTAACATTTCCTTCATTTTGCGCAGCAAGGTATTGATTCCCGGCAGCATTCACCACTTTACTGTAACATTTCCTTCATTTTGTGCGGCAAGGTTTTGATTCCGTATTATATATTCCCTCCCTTTTTGTTTGTTTCCTCCAGAAAACAGCCACCCTCAAACCCTTTTACACCTTCAACTTGGCACATTGCCATAAAGGCAAATCTAAAACTATTGGGCTATAAGCTCTTCATGTACATAGCAAAGAGGCATGACAGTGAGGGACAGAGATACCCCTGTAGGGTATAGCTTTGTCTCTTTTCTGTAGCTAAAATTCATGCACCAGTTACTGAATAGAAGGGCCATAAGCTATTTGATATCTTGTACTCCACTTGTCTAAGTGGGTTATTTGTGTCCATAAACAAGAGCCCCCTAGAACCAATTAACAGTTTGTATTAGAACCCTGTTATCCTTGCCTACATAGCAAAGAACGGAGACATCATAAACTCTGTGGCCAACAGGATGTATCTTTTGAGAGAGGAATGCAAATGCGGACGAACTTGCAAATGAAGCACGGATTTGAATTTCCCATGCTTCATTTGCATGATTGCATCCGGCCGCTTTTTTGAAATACCCTATTTTGAAAAAAGAAATGCTGTGTAGATGCGTTTATTTCGAAATAGCACCCGGACGTGATTATGCAAATGAAGCATGGGAAATTCAAATCCGTGCTTCATTTGCAATTTCGCTCAGCTTCAATTGCATTCCTCTCTTGAAAGAGGAATGCAGTATAGACATACCCTGATAGATGATAGGGTGCTCTCAGTACTAATACCGAATTCTACCATGCATTCTCTCCATGGCACTGAGAGCCTATCAGTGACTAGTGCGCACATACCCTCAAGTGACACAGTTACGCTGCCATAAGCTTCTCCCACCAACTAGCTTATGCTGCTTATAGAGTTGGAGTTTTTATGCCAGTGGAAGAGCTCTCATCCATCGGCATAGAACATCTTCACCAGATGCCCTGCAGTGACATAGCTGTATGAGTAAAGCTGCAGCGTTGTACATGGCTTAAGATTGGTGATGAGTTTTTCCATCAGAATGTCTCGTGAATGACAAACCTGTGTCATAGTTACTGAGTGCTCACAGCAGCATGTTGATCATTGTCTACATTGACTGGGACACTCACTCCTTGTTTTAGTGTAGATGTACATGTAGACAATGCCCTCGCCTCTTAATTGCATTAAGCAAGGTAGTTAAAATGACAAGCCATCTCAGCACAGAGTGTATCTAAATGGATTATAGTGTCTGACACCAAATGGCAGGAGCACTCCATCTTACAAACATCAAGGCTTATTACGCTACAGCCCAGGCTACAATCTTTCTGGTTCAGAAATATCCCTGTATTTGAAACATGCAAAGCAGCCGCCGGGAGTAATCCTCTTGTTTCTGTTAAGTATCATTGAGCTGGCCTGCTGAATAGAAGCCAAATGTAGGCCCACACTATTACATTCACTCTTTAGCTAGTAGGGATGTTAGCATATAGTAGTTTACACAATTAATTGATAACTCTGGACTAATTGATAACTTTAGCTAGTAGGGATGTTAGCATATAGTAGTTTACACAACTAATTGATAACTCTGGTCTTACTGGTTAATCCTAATGACTATACGTGCACATACACACCCCTTGTTGCCTCTGTATCAAAGGCAGCAAAGGGATAGGATGAGAGCCAGTGCTCTTGGGGAGTTGGCTTTTACCTCCCCACCTCCCATCCTTCCTCCCATACCCTGCAAGTAACTGCTAAAAAAAAAAATCTAGCAGTTACACGTTTACACAAATACACATTCATTAACATCCCTATTGGTTAGTGGCAATTAGGGGCTTCTTGGTCCCACCTTGCGTGTTGACCCTGCTTGCTGGCCTCCTGAAGGGGTTTTCCACACAGACAAAACCTCTGGAAGAAGTTACTGTAAGGTAATGAATTGCTCTATATAGGCCAGAGTTCATATACTTTATTTCAGAAAGGTTTGGGGCAACATAAAAGTAAAATATAGTACAGGATGTCTCTAGTTGTAGTGAAAGGGCAATGTCCTCTATTATTTTAATACAATTTATTCACTCCTACAAGAGACCTCTGGTGGCAGAATCTGTTAAGTGATGCAGTGTAGATGCTGTATTGTAGATTCATACTCATTCTGTATATTTGGTGTGTTTTCACCACTTGAGGATCAGCAAGGGTAGTGGGAGTTTATAAATTAGTCCAATATTAACTTGTCCTGTTTGCAAGTTGAGGAATAAACCTTTTCTTGTGTGTCCTACAGGTATAAAATCTGCTGGACCCAATGTGCACAATTATATGACCTCAGCTTTGGCAAACCTTTTCTTGTGTGTCCTACAGGTATTAAATCTTCTGGACCCAATGTGCACAATTATTTGACCTCAGCTTTGGTTTAGCTGGATCAATTTAAATAATGAGCTACAATTTAGTACTTCATTTACTCCCTTTGAATGTTAAGCAATTCTCCTGTAATAGGTAACATGCTGTAGGTAACTGGGGATTTCAACTGATTAGTCTTAACTTTTTTAATGGTCATGCATTTATATACCTTGATAGTCTGATTCAGCCTGATTTTTCAAGCCTCCAAGATGTGGATCTCAAGGATACTGGAGACTTGTCTGAGACTCCCCAGTCCTTTAACTCTTCAGTACATCTTTTGGCCCAGATTCAGCAAAGTACTTAATCACGTGTATTACTGAAGTCAGTGGGATTGTTTGTGTGCTGAAATTGTGCAAGTCCTCAAACGCTTTTGAATTGGAGCTTTTTTGCATTGATTTGCTAGCTGTTTTGCAAAAGTCTCATGTTTATAGAGAAACGTATAACTGATCATTTAAAACAATGGTTGTGAACTAGTTGATGTTCCTTCTCTTTTAGGAATCGTGGAGAAAAGCGAATGAGTGCTTTCGAATGTGTCCGAAAAGTCTATCATTCTGATGGAATTAAAGGCTTTTACAGAGGAATGTCAGCATCCTACGCAGGCATATCTGAGACTGTTATTCATTTTGTTATTTACGAGAGTATTAAGCGAAAACTACTGGAATTTAAGACTGCTTCTAGTATGGATGATGAGGATGAATCTGTAAAAGAAGCTTCAGACTTTGTTGGAATGATGATGGCTGCTGCAACTTCCAAAACCTGTGCCACATCTATAGCATATCCACATGGTAAGGCCCACTTGCTCATTAAGAGCCCGATCCAGAGCCCAAAGAAGTAGGCAGAAGCCTTTTCATAGAGTTTCAATGTGCTCTCGATCAGTCCCAACAAAGGAATATTTTGCTTTAGCTACATTTCTGTATATCATTTGATTTACGGAACTGGTATGGCCAATTTATGATTCAGTAAGTTAACCAGAGGCTACTGTCTTCAGAAATCAGTGTAAAAGTATTCCTAAATAGTATTTAGTCTAATACTATTGGAACTGCTTCTACCCAGTCCTCAGATTCAGAGACACCATACTTTGTTGGGACCTCTATATTATGCTCATTATTTATGTAATTTTAAGTAACTAATCAACAGATCTTTTTTTTCTTATAAGCAAGATCTCTTCCTGTCTTTCACTGTGCTGTTCTTCTGCTCCATTTTCCCCCAGTACTGCTGTTTACTTTGTCTCAATCTAGCAAAGCACTTAATTATGTGCTTAATTATGAGGTGAAACAATATGATTAATCCCATATTTAAATGGTTTGTTGGACTTGGGGCACTGAAAGCACCATTACATTACCCAATTGACTGGGTATCAGGGAATTGCTAAACTTTTAGATTATTTTACTCTTGAAAACACGTGGCTTGTCTTTTTTTCTTCCACGTTCCCAGCCCTTGTAATTGCCATGTTAAGTTTTTTACCTAGTATCTAAAGAGTGTATATGTTGAGGGTTTTGTGCTTGCGTAGTCTTTTGGTTACAGTGATTAATTTTTCATTACATTTTTGTAAGGTGAGGACCAAAATAACCAAGTGTTAATTTCTTTAAACAGAGGTTGTACGAACAAGACTACGTGAAGAGGGAACAAAATACAGATCTTTCTTCCAGACACTGTCTTTGCTTGTGCGAGAAGAAGGCTATGGATCCCTCTACCGTGGTCTAACTACACATCTAATCAGACAGATTCCAAACACAGCTATAATGATGTCCACCTATGAAGTGGTAGTCTACTTACTCAATGGATAGCAGTGTTACAAGGCTGTCTCTAGGACGTTGAAAGACCAAAAGATTTCAGTGGACCACCAAATATCAGTGCCAGTGTGGTGGGCAGAAGAAAAATATTGATCAGGAGCAGGCAGCTATGGATGAAACAGAAGATTGATTTTAGGCAACTATGAGCAATTTGCTGCCTTATTGTATGGTCCTTTTGAGACCATGTGACAAACAGGAGCTGCCCCCATGGGAATGCCTTTAAACACATTTATTTCAAAATTGCTATTTTCTCTCCATGTGTTAATTTTCATGCTGCAAAAGCAATGAGCTTCAGTAATTTGGAAGGAAGGAGTCCTATATTGCATTCTATTGCAAGGGACAGTCCTGTTCCATTTGTAATGTTTTGTCTTCAATACATTCTGTTTCAATGCACAATAAGCTGCTAGGGTGAGGAGGATGAAAGCATAGTCTCATAACTTTGTATGTCTGAAACTTGTATTCCACCTGAAGTCTCAAGGGAGGAGACTGAGGTAGTAGTGGCAGTATGCAGCTTCCATGTTGCTATCTCAAGGAATGTGACACAGAGACCTAAAGCAGAAGTATTCTGTCATATAAAAGGTGGCCTTTCTTCTGAGGCTGAGGTACAGTCTAAGTTAGTGTGAGAAGCTCTGGTTGCTTAACCCTGCAGGATACTAGTCTCTTAGTATTGGCATGCTCAGTTCTGCTGAGTCCTCTTGCTTTTATTATCATATTTCTTCACTCCCTTGTAGAATCTAAAGAGGAGTGTATGATGATCTGTTGTAACAGTACATGAATTCTACTCTCCTGATCTGTACTGTGTCAAACACTACTAACACAGGGAATTTCAGAACAGTGTCTTTAAGAAGTCTCCATGAAGTATTTAAATCTTGCTTTACATAATGCAAGCTATACAGCTTTCACTCAAATTTAGCTTTATGCAAACTAAAAGCAAGCTTTATTGTTCTAAAACTTCTTCCTTCAAGACTTAGCCTAACACTGTAGTGACTAGAGTACCAATACTTCTCAAGGGTTAGAAGATGAGGACACACACTTCACCATATCTAACACTGTAGTGACTAGAGTACCAATATTTCTCCAGGGTTAGAAGATGAGGGCACACACTTCACCATATGTAAAATTCTAGGAAAGCACATAGATAAACTCTTGTGTAGTAACAAGTTGGGAGTTGATGTAAATCATGTTCAGTGACATCCCAGCCACTTACATAATGATGGAGAAGATGGTAATTGAGAATTTTTTGTTTAAGCATTCCCCTTAAAAGTTGCTATATCCCTTGTGTTTGTCTAAAGCTGGGTCCAGAACTGCAGATAACAGAATAACTGTCCTCTCAATTGCCTGAAGATTCAGGCATTGTTTTTAATTGATGCTATGTAAAGCTAGTTACAGAATAATGGATTGCATTCAACAGCATATCGTAGCTACTATGGTTGCTTGTTCTGCCATAACTTACAGATCCAGACTATCAGGAATAAGTTTCACATTCTACGTAGCTTTTCAAACTCCCACATAGAACTTGAATACTTCCAGGATTACATCTGCTGCCTTTTGGATGGGATGTTCACAATGATTTTGTGGCAGTAACTTTCTACCTATTAATGCCACTACACTAGTATAACAAAACAGTGCAATTAACTCCTCCAGTGTGGTACTTTAGTGTACTTTTAAACTGTGCAGTGTGTGCAATGGCTTTATGTTACACATGACTCCTTATGCACTTTGTGGCCTTTTTTGGCTTGTGATTTTTTTTTTCTCCTGCTTCAGATTTTAGATATTGGTCCTGTGCAGTTAGAAACGGTGATGAATACATGGAGATTCTTTTAAAGCTAAGTGTATGATTTGAGTTCCAAATAGCTGGGCAGAAAGACGTTTTTGCAGTAGATCACTAGGACTGATGAAACAGTTTTGGAGAATTTTATACATAAAAGCTTGACATATACTAAACAACCATGTTGTCTTGTTTTGTTTTCCTTTATGCATTGTACTTCATACTATGGCAGAAGTCTTTCAGTACAGACTTGCAACCCTTGGTGTTAGATGCTGTTAGAAATACTTTACTTTTAAGGGCCATCTGTAGAGTACAAAGTCCACTACTATGCCGATTCAGTAGGGCTTGGCTGCATTCATCTGATTTCCTTTTGAGTATTCTTACCAGTTTTTTTTAGTTCAAGAAGTGTTCTAAATATAGCCTGTGTTGCGCACATTTAGACTAACATTTGTAATCTTTGTATTCTTATTCGTAAACGGAGATTATTTAAAAAAAACCAAACAAACAGTTGAAGTTTTCCCAGTGACTTCTCTATGGGTACGTTTATACTTGCTCCCTAGTTCGAGCTAGGGATGCAAATGTAGCCGACCAAAATTGCTAATTTTAAGATTATGCAAATGAAGTGCGGGATATTTAAATCCCCACTTCATTAATAATTTTGGTTGGCTACATTTGCATCCCTAGCTCGAGCTAGGGAGCAAGTGTAGGCGTATCCTATAGGAAATCTGCTAATGCTGTTATTACTCACAACTAGCCTTCCTGCTTCCAAACATCAGTGGCCAGATTCTTCAGATCTTGCTGCTGACACCAGCATTCAACTAACAACAAAAATTTAAATGCAGTAATGTGAAAGCCAAAAGTGATTATAAAGTAATAGCTAATTATGGGGAATGAGTTACATATAAAACATATTTCTCTTCAGGAGATATCCAAGTAGTTCAGTCACAGCTGAATTTTAGATTTAGCAAGCACACACAGCCCAAATTTATCCCCAGAGTTACCGGGTAAAATGCCCACGGTTTTGATGGGAGTAGTACCCATGTATTCCAGGGATAAACTTGGCCCACTAGATCCAGTCTGCCTTCAGAGAACATGCATTACTTCTTTTGCCCTATTAGGTTTAGATTGTGTGGGTGCCTCACAAGATCCAGTCTGCCTTCAGAGAACATGCATTACTTCTATTGCCCTATTAGGTTTAGATTGTGTGTGGGTGCCTCACCGGGAAAGAATAGATCCCACTGAATCTTGTTTCTAGAGGGGTGATATCTCAGTAGAAAGGGGAGGGTTTTTGTTTGTTTTGCTTAACTCTCCTTGTTATCAGCCAAAGAAAGACAATCAACCTCTTGTTCCAGTTTTCATTGGGTTTTACTCCTTCAGAGAGAGAACTTTTTTTTAAATTTCTTCAGGGTTGAAATTTTTTTATAACAAAGAAACAAACCAAATTGTCTTTTTCATTTAAAAAGCTACCACAATGTTCAAAGATACCTCTGAATTATTTCCCAAAGAAATTCTTTATGTACTGAAATTCTTTATGTAGTTTTCTTGGGATCTATTTTGAAGACATACAGAGGCAAACAGAAGATGCAACATTCAATAATACCATTTATTACAAAGCTGAAAGAATGTTCCTTGTTTTGGGTCATCATCTCTTACTTGATTCTTTAATGTATTTTACAGTTGTACTACCATGATTTTCTATCTAACAGAGAGGTTAAACCTCAGTTTTCTAGAAAGGGTACCATTCTGCAAATTATTTTACATATCAATCTAATTTATGTAAACAAACATCCATTTTTATTTAAATATATTTGATTTGACTTAACAGATGGTTAAGCATCAAGAAACATAGTATAATAAAACTGCAAGTCTCCAGGTTAGCCAGATGGTGGCAGTATAGTGTGTGCTGCTCAAAGCTAAGTGGATTGGTGTTCCACTTAAAATTTGTATCTGGTTTTCAACAGTTCTCAGTTTTTCTACAGTACACACTGTCTAACAAAGATATTTATAAAATAATGGCTTAGCACTGTAAATTATTGTGGCTGGAACTTGGAAAGCCATGACAGAAAATCTTCAATGAACGGGTCTGCACCTTATAAGTCCCTATCAATATCCTGGATTTAGAAATCCTAACGTGCAATGTGAAATGTCATAAGGCAAGTTTTGGTGTACCAAATGGAATGTTCTACCTATCTTTAAACTGACTGCAAGATCTGCTCTTTGTTTTTCCTAACGTTTTGATTTGTTAGCATACATTGTTCTTAGTAGGATCACACTAGTGATTTATGATGGGTTTTTATTTGTTTTTTATAACGAATGATTGAAACATTGGTGTATTCATAGGTCTATTGTACCTATATAATTCCCTGATTACATGATACACTCCACACATTTCCTTTTTTAAATAAATGTTCCATCAAGAATGACAGTTTGTGCTTTTTTGCTATTTTTATTTTTTCCCTCCTGTCAGTTGTATTTTAAACATTCCTTATATTGTACAATTTTTTGTTTTTTAAGTTATTTTGAAAATCAGATTGGAGACATTTCAAAAATGTTGCTTCCTGGGTTTTTTTGTTAATTCTAGAAACAAGCAAAATGCTGATATGTGCAAATTAAATTAAATTTATTACAATTCTCTCTGTAAAAACTGAAGTCATGTAAGTTATCAACTGTTCTATTTAAGAGAGTCTGCAAACCCTGCATATGTGAACATAATTATGCCGTAAGAGTCATAGCTAAACAGTCACAAATGAGCATTTGAGAATCCTTTAATGTTCATGTGAGGTTTGCTATTATTCTTGCATACATGTAGTTGGCTGTAAACTATGTGCATTTACTTTGTATTTATATTATATAACTAACTCTCTTTTGTTTGGACTATTTTAAACTTAAAAAATAAAATGTGCTTATATTGAAAGATGGTGCGTGGTGTTGGACCAAGATTATTTTTTTTTTAAATAATTTGATTTTACACACTATGCATTGCTGGAGAACTCAGGTCATAGTAAGAGGCTACCTGGAAAATTCCCTTGAATCATTTCAGCATATGTCAGTATAATTCTAGCTAAAAACTACCATGCATTTGAATTGTGACCCTTGTAAAATATGTGGGTTCTGCCTAGTTACTGTTACTTTAGGATGAGATTTAGATAAGACCTGAGCTCTTTCTCTAATCTACATAGCCACTTTATAGCAATTTCTGAAGAACAAGCATTTGACGTGGAATCTTTGGTCAACATTTCACATAGCCACTTTATAGCAATTTCTGAAGAACAAGCATTTGACGTGGAATCTTTGGTCAGCATTTCCTCATTCTCCATTTTTTTTTTTTTTTTTTTTGAGGAGTACAGGATCTTTTGAA